TTCAGGATAAAGTAGGATACGATGAAAAAGAAAACCGGGTGGAGCTTAATAAACAAGCGCCAAACAGAATCATCCTTCTGGATGATATACAACAGGAGCTAGTTCCCAGCCAAATCTATACACAAGTCAAATGATCTTGCATTTGTCTAATATGGTCTAATAAATTTTTGTGTTATTCAAAATGTTCATGAAGATACTGCACCAAGAGAGTGAATTATATAAATAATCCTAGATCCTTAATAAGTGTCCTAATCTATCCATCTTTTCTGTATAGTTCGAAAAATGTGGCAGTGCATAGTGTACCTCTTCCACGTTGACATCTGTAGCAGTTATACCAGGTTGAGCCTTTCCACTAAAGACGATCTCAGCAGAAGCATCCACATTTGAACTACCTCCCATGCTGATGTAGATATTTTGTTCATCAAATTTCACAGGATAGACGAACAATCCCCTCAAAGCAGGGGTGAGAACTCTCAGTACTGGGTTATTTGGATACCATTCCTTAATTTCTCCAGTTCGAAGATCAAATGTACTGTCAGTTGTAGGGCAGACTATGCAGCCATCCTGACATAGAATGAGGGAAAAGGCACAAGTAAAGGGTAAGATGGCTTCAAATTAAATGAGCTACAAACACTCAACAGTTTAACACGCATGCAACTATCTGAGAAAGTGATTAGTTATTCAGCTACTACACTGGAAGTCTGGAATAATGAACATGTGAAAAGACTATCACTCAGCCAAACTGTTCACTGCATGGCGATAATCTAACTTTCTGGAGTATGAACTCACCTACAACAAAAACCTAGCATGTTGCAGCAAGTCATAATTAAAACCCATGTTTCTCAAACTTTTCATTTTACCTTAAGCACCCGTGATCATGAGTAGGACACTCAGACCTTCCAAATTTAGCCAATTAATGAAATATTTTCACAAAACAGTGGAGTATGACACTAGGACATGTGCCTGTGTCACACATGGGTACCTGAGTCTGAACAAGAAGTGAACCAAAAGCCTCCTTAGAATAAGCTAGTAAGGTGAAAATATAATAGAACAGTTCTATGCAAGTTTAGCCAGTCAGATCATTTGATACCAAGTATAATGAACATGCATTTTGCTGTGCTGTATAACATGCTTCCCTGTAATTTTCTTGACATAGAGACAATCAGAAAGATATAGCTGGGTGGCCGGTAAATGGAGCAATGGGTAAAACAGGAAAGAAGATTGGACAACACACATATCAAGTCTTCTTTCCAATTCGCTAAAGAGATTATACGGCTTTTCTGGCTGAAAAGGGATTAAAGCAAGAGATTCTCAAGTCTCCTTTCCTATTTGTTATAAAATGGAGACACTATCTAGATGCATGTATCTATTTAAAAAAGAAAAATCTAGATGCATATATATTTTGGCAAACAGCAACCATTTCCATTTCTTTCATAAATGTGATATATAGATTAGATCTGACTCATCTCAAGCCTGTAGAAGATATGCTAATGTTCGCTAGAAAAGATTTGGCTTCAGGTAACTTTCTTGAAATTGAAGCTAACCTTGATAAAAAAAATTGGTTAAATTATTCTATGATTGATCAGTTGTTAGAGAGGCAACCAGATAAACCATACATTGAGAAGACTGTCTATGAAACTAGGACTTGTACTGCTAAGAAATTATCCTAACTAGACAGGCTACAGTTAGTCACTGTCACTCGCCCTCTTCAGTATACCAACAGTCTGAAGCCAGCTGTAATTATGCTCATGTAATTATTGGAAATAGTGGAAAGCAAAACAAAGTCTTTTTATAGAATGCTGAAAGTGATCATTCCATCAATGAAACTGTTGTTAATATTTGAAAATTTGTGTCTACCTAAATTTGATGAAGATTGCAACGTAAAAACTATCTTCCTTTAGATAAGGCTGCATTCTCTAAGTTCTGTCTTTGACTGTTACTCTCCTTCCTATTCGGGAATTCATCCAGGACAACTATAAAAGGGTTGGGTGCACAGAGACTGTTACAGTTGGTGGAGTTAGGCGCTCCTTAAAATACTCATGGTTTTCACATTGACAAGGTATGCAAAATGGATAAGCAACAGTAATCCTATATCTAGCTTGTGTGGGGCTGAGCCAGAATTATTTCAACATCAAATTTTTTTCATCAATTAATTAATGATTCTCACCTAGTTACATCAATAATGTACCAAAATCCACTTATACAGAGAGAACAGCTCATATTAATATCTAACCAGCTTCATGTTAAAGATCAATACGATTCATTATCTATCTTCAAGTAGCCACCAAAGTCTCCATATGCATCCGAAGTTTAGCAACTTTCTACCAATATTCCAACTCAATAACAAACATAATCTTAAGAAATTAAAGGAAAGCATAAATAGAATTATAGATTTAAATCAAAGTCCTAACTAGCTGCAAGGCCTGCAACCACCAAGCTCACTTGACTATTCGACTATTCAAGTTTATGTTCTAAACAGCTCTGGGGTTTATACAGTCATTCTGTGACCAGTCACTATAAAATGCTGAAACACCTACGTGATCAATATTGTCCATGGGTATATTTCTCGCATAAAGGACACTATGACAGTAACATCTGCCATCTTTCTCTGCAATGAAGCTGTAATTATAATAAAGCAGCCATGCAGAATATCACTTATTAATTTTTCAAGCAATTAGATAATCTAAGCTTCAGCATTTTCCATTATTTGTCCTCATACTTTCTACAATTCCCTCAGATATATAGCCAATAAACATTGACAGATTTATGCTTCAGCAGCAGAAGCATGAGAAATAAAGCAGAAAAACAATCACAATTCTGAATGGATATTAAACTACCATAAGAGTTCATCAATCAAAGCTGACTTTGGACTAAGTAGGTTTGTATCTACTTACAATCAATGTTAATCGAGCTACTCATTTCACCTAGAGTACACGTGTATATACTTCGTAGACAGTAGGCACTTCGGTTTACACCAAGAATGGCAAAAAGCTCATAATATTCATTAACTAACCAATTCTACGATTTAAACACATACCCGTGTCTAACAAAAGCACCCGAGTGGCCGAGTATAAGTCACATAACTGAAAATGGCAGCCGGAAATATTATTTGTATCCACAGTCACATACTTCGTGTTACATAAACCAGGACCAACAATATTGAATTGCCATAACCCTCCAATCCTAATCATAAAAAAAAAAAAAAAAAAAAAAAAAAAAAAAAAAAAAAAAAGCTTACTACTAGTAACTATTTTCTTCTTTTCGGATTCTATTTACAATCATCATATTCCAAGGTGTAAATTTAAGTGCATATCAATTACACACGATTCTACACATTTCTTCCTATATTGTGTAAACTTCCATTTCCATGAAAAGTTCCATAAAAATCAATTACATAAGCAATGCATTACATAAAGAATTAAGCAAACACAATCCAGTATTAATCAAAAAATTCTACTGCATAATTAGAATGTAAGGCATTTAACTCACTTGGGTAAGTTTGGCATTGAGCAAACCCTCACTGTAAGCACCTTCTGCAGGAGACCGATTTTCGATAGCGAAAACAGAATCCTTGTACCACAAAAGCAAAATGGTCTCCCCATCTTGAATGATCACCCTTCTTTCCCCTCTAGGCAACGCGGACAACGGCACCACCGGAACCCAATTCTTTCCACCACCATCCGACGCCGGAGATTCTTCAGCCACAGAAACTTCGGTCGCCTTGCATACGACAGATCTCTTGAAACTAGTCAACTTCCGGATAGATATCGAAATTTTAGTGGCGGGGAGGTGGGAATTTATGGTGGGGAAGTATTTAGGGAGAGAGGGTTTAGAAGGGGAGGAGAGAGAAAGGAGAGTGGAGATGGATTTGAAGGGTGAAGTAGTCGTGGAAGCCATGGAAGTAAAGAGGAAGGTTGAAGAACAAGTGAAAGAGAGGTTAGAAATGGAGGAAGAAGAAGAAGAAGAGGAGGGAAGTGAAGTTGGGAAGAGAGAGAAAAAGAATAGTCCATGTCCACAAGAAGTGGATAACAAAGGTTGGTTGATTATGTAACTCGTATTTCATTACTAACCACAATTATATGCTTACTCACTTCTTACTATGTACTCATAAAAGTGATAGTTGACCTTGTTTGACTTTTTATTTATACTTACAGGTTTCAATGTTCTCCTCCACTTTAACTAAAGGATCAATTCGGGTAACAGGTCAGATTCTGTTGAGTCTAATTGGATTGGATCGGATATAGTTCAGGGTTTGAGTTATGTTATTTTCTTCATTTCGTATTAATCGCAACACTTTTTTTTTTCATCCGTTTCATATTAATTGCAATACTTTTATATTTAAAAAGGACTCACCATTATTTTATAATTATTCTTTCCCACCCACCCCACTTTGATAAATATTTTATTATTTTTCTTTCCTACCAACCCCACTTACACTACAAAGCAAAAACTACTAGCCCAATTTAACAAAATAAGAAATAAATAACGTAAAAATGTTTCATATTGCATATTTAAAGTTGCATTCAGATGTACTTTATTTTATTTCTGACTTCCATTCTCTTTCCTTATTTACTAGTCTGCCCATTATCAACTCGATATTGATCCGTAACACGCACTGGCCCAACCCACTTTCATATTGTGAATTTGTGACAAAAGGAGATACAAGAAGGTATAGTATTTCGTTAATGATGTAAGTTTAAGGTGACAAAAAAGGTAAGGTCTTTAAATTATATTCAAGCGAGTTTAGGAACAAAAATAAAATAAAAAAAAAAATGAAAAAAAAAGAGTTAAATCTTTTACACTGAATGAAGATTCTGCTAATTCACCATCAACTTGTTTCTCATACCATATTTCTTTAGACTACGAAAAATAGTATAATTCCATATAATATATATCCCGTGCATTAGCACATACACATTCTAGTTTTCTAAAAATTTTTGAAGCCATTAGCCATGAAAACATGAATGAAGAAGTAGATGATGAATTGTGGGCCATATACATACACCATTTCTTTTTTTTTATATATATATAAAGAAATGAGTTTGAAATTTTATAATATCCATTCAAAATTGAGTAATACAACATTTTCAATATTTTGGACCGTTGTAAAAAATAAAAAAAAAAATTCAAGAATTGACTAAAATAAAGATATGTATCAAGGAAGATATACTAGAAAGGTTTAGTTTGGATTCTATTCATCAATATTTTTCATATACTCCTTAGAAAGTTTGTTTTGCATGACGAACTGCTGTTCTTTCACAAGAGAGTAGCCTGATTCGAGAAGAGCCTCAACATTTTGCTACACAGAAAGACTGGAGTTAGTGCTTCGAATCAGACATACAAGAAAGATATGTAGTATGATTAGCACATACAATATGTAAATGGTATTGAAACTATTTGAATAAATTCTGAAGTTTAAAATATCAAAAATAACATAAGCTCTTCAGTTGGAATGTGGACTGCAAACCTATGTGTTTCATGTGTGGCTCTCGGTTGAATGTTATAATTTGTTTATATATGTTTCAAATGATTCATATCATCAGGTGTACCCATTCCAATCAAATGATCTGCAGCTGCCACTATATCCCGCGATAACAAAAACGTATTGGTTTCAGGTATATCTAGGCCAGGTTCAGACAACCAATCCTTCCTAATTCGAATCTTAATTGAGATTTTTTTTTTTTTTTTTTTTTTTTTTTTGGTGTTAAGATACCAGATCCCCACCAAATCAAGCAAATTGTTGATAAAACTCTAAAATAGCATTTTCTTCTGACCCAAATTTTTTTTTTTTCTCATCATTCAGGAATGACATGGAAATTTCTGGGTAGAAAACATAATCCAGAATTTATCTGAGATTCGACCCCCATAGCTGATGATAGAACTAAAATAGATATGTTTTGTTTTTTACTCACCCAGGCCCATATCCTTGCATTTTTTAATTTTTTTTTTTATCAATCTCTAATTCTTATCTTCCTCCTTAATCTGATATTATGGTGCTAGTGTAGACCGGAATTCTGTTATGGTCCTTTTTGTTCTTTTAGCTCCATGGTGTGATATGTTATACTACAGATGATTGGATGGCCTAGACCTATTAAATGGAAAACGGATAAGGAAGAACAGCTAGGTCTATTGTTCTTACATTCAGGTGGTCTTAATTTATTCATTGGCAAAAGGGGAAAGGAGAGCAGATAGACCTATTTCTCTGACTAATTTTTTTTCCGACTAAATGCAAACATTTTGTCGACATGTAGGTCTATCTGTTCTCTCTTCCCCTTTCACTAGTGATTATACTAAGAAGACCTAAATGTCAGCATTCTCAGCAATTTGCCAGTAATAAATCGTGTGGTGCATGTGCATGTGTGTGTGCATGTGCGTGTCTGTGGGACTGTGTGTAACAAAGCCTTGTCCATGTTAATCATTGTGGATCTTTGATGCGGAAATAAGGCCTATTTGATTAGTAATTCCAATTCAAGTGTCAAAATACAAGAAATACTAAAGACATCTAAGATTCAGACAATAAATACTCGAAACAAACAGAATCAGCAGTGAATTGCTTATTAAAACTTCAAACAAAGTTTGGCAATTGATGCTACCTCAGGTGGCACAAAAACTGGAAGTTTATCACCTCTCCTTTGTTTAAAAAGTGTGGTTCCTAGATTCTCAACACCTCCGCATTCATCAACCCACTAGAAGAAGATAAGGAATTAACAATTAGTTTGCAATCAGGTAAAAAAAGCAAGAAGGTAGACTTCAGTATTGGAAAATATTATTTTACAGTACCACAAGCTGGACAACGAATGAAGCCCTTTAACATACATGTATAGCTAGCCTGATTCCTACTGGTTGCAAAATACTTAGACTGGATAACATGAATAGATAATTCTTTTGGTCAGATGATATAATCACAATCACTGGTACAGGAAGAGCACCCGATCAGTCATTTACTAATCATGTTCCATAATTTTGTACAACATAGGTTACTACCCTTCTGCTGGTGTGAAAAGGGGTATTAAAACAAAGCTTCTTAATGACATAGAGATTATTAATTATTATTAAAGCTCCAAGCATGCATGACTTCATAAAATTTAGGTTATTAACCTTCTGCTGGTATGAAAAGTGGCTTAAAAACAAAAGCTGCATAGTGACCCAGACTTTTTGCAAAATTTCTTAGTTTAAGCTCAGCAACCTCTGAACTAAGCATTGTCATAGCTGTTTCTTTTCTTATACAAAATGAAATAAATTTAGTGCAGCATTGTTGATTGCGACTCCAGCATGATGATGAGTTTGTAATAGTAATTAGCATAGACATGACAAACATAAGGCTTAAATTTCTTCTTATTCATTTTAATTTTAATTCTGCAGAAAACACTTAATTTTTAACTGTAGACATCTTGCAAGAAAGAAGTAAATACAGCACTTGCATGCAAATTGATAGACCCAAGCAAAGAAGAGTATACCTTAAGAAGAGATCGGTCGTATGTACGGGATCTCAATGCTCCATAGAAATCTAAGGCTGCATGTTCAGAAAGGGGCACAGTGTTTGTTAGTAAAATGTTTAATAATTACGCTAACTAAAAGAACATACTCTAAATGAAGACATAAATGATGGTTAGAAAGCATCATTGATACTGCTCCCCCCCTCCCCACACACACACACACACCCAAAAAAAAAAAAAAAAAACCCCAAAAAATGGATAAATAAGAGAACTTTAGTGCATGACAAGATTCAATTAAACAATATGAGGTGAGTTTAGTTTATGCCAAGTTCTAGAGTCTTCAGCATATATCCACACATTATAAAGGTTACATGCTACATATCTCAAATACCAGTTCCATAAGAGATCTGTATTGAAAACCTAGTACCAAATCCCAAAAGGAAATGGTACGAGCCCTATGAGGATTGCCTCCAAAGGAAATTGAGATCCATAAAGCCCAAAAAAGCCCTCAAAGTCAATCAGAAAGGAAAATTGGAATTTTAAAAAGTCATCGGAGAACAATAAAATATATTCATGATTCCATTACTACACAAAATATACAGAGACTTATCATCAATCATCCCTTACCCTAGCAACGTAAAGGCTTTAAATCTTTAATTACATAAGGACCCTTCTTGTAGCCCCACACCATCTTAAATTGCATTTGAGAAATGAGCAAAGGATCGGATACACACAATTGAATCAACTTGATTTTACCAAGAGGGTAATTGTGTAATACTCTTGGATTCTAAGTCTATCTTTATTTCAATTTCAGTGCATCAGGGTCCTCTGTTGACACATAAGTAAAGTTAACTATTTATTCTGAAGAAATGCGTACAATATTACCTTGATCAGGAAATGTGTTCACAATGCTGAGAACCTCATCCTTGGATATTCCATCTTTTTCATACATCCGATGAACAATGTTAACAATATCTTCATGATTTGGCTGCCTGATATGACCAAAAATAAATAAATAAACAAAGTTACAGTAGTGATGCAGTACTTCATAACAGAAACAATATTATGGAAGTTTGGAAATTTTAGAGATAGCTAGGCGACTGTCCTACTCAGACTATGGAAATAAGTACAGAGTGCCCATCTGAGACACCTTGATACAGTAAACAATTAGGCACTTTAAACAAAAGAAAACACATAGAATAGTATATGATTCACACCTTCAATCCATGTAAGATAGCTATTTATAAGTCAGCTACTTGACATGCTCAAGTATCACATTTCATTCTCATACGTGCAATCGTGTATAACATAAAAACCCAGTGGATAAAGGGCTCATCTTGTACCATTATGAGTTCTCAGCTTTGAATTAAGCAATAGCTAAACTTAAATGTTTGGATTCAGAATTACTGGTGTTCGATTTTTGTTGTCAGTTTGGAGAGTTAAGATGAGTAGCACGTGATGATGATTCAGATACCCCAAACACTTATTTGTATTGTAAACAATTGAAAATAAAACATAGGAAAATAAAAACAATAATTAAACAAAGTGTTGAGTCGAATTATTAAAAAATTTAATAAATTACAAAACTACATTTCAGATGCCAAAACAACAGTCTTCAGAATTGAAATAGAACTATATAGATCAGCTTGCACTGGCTTCCTAACCCTTCCAATCTAACAGAAGTTTAATCAATAAAGTCCTAAGAACTTTCAATGAACACAAATCTAGATAATGGTGACAAAATGCAAGGATCACCACCATATGATCTGACTAAAAGTAGCTGTACTTTGTTATAGCTATTAAAGATGACGGGCATAATACATAGCTACATACCAGTAGAACTTCTCCATCCTCCCATCCCGAATTAGAGGAGCATAAATTGTTGAAAAGTCATTTCCTGTGACAATAATAGGAATTCTATGTGTAACATCCGATTCACGCCATTTTTGTCCAGTGCTAACTCTGGTGGGATTATCAGCCAAGTTCATCAAAGTTCCAGAAACAATTTGATTGTTAACTGTCACTTGAGTATCTCCTACAAAAGGGAAAATATTGCAGCAAATATAAGAGTTATGCCAATGTAGTCGTATAACTAACTATCTAATTCGTATCAGTATATTGTCTGTGAATGGGAGCTCACCGAATCTACCAATGCCAGCATCAATGTCATTGACCAACAAACAGCTCAATTTTCCCTGTACAGGTCAAGGACAACAAGACTACATTAAAAAATTATGCCTGGCTGGGTGTCTTCAATTAAAGTGTTTCGCTTTAAGTTTATGTGCAATGTGAGAAGTGGAAGAAAAATACAGTATATGGGACTTTAGACAAGTCACTGAGATTCAAGTAGAAAAGAATAAATACCCACAGAGAGTCAAAAGAAAATGTCTTTTGACCTAACAATGAGAAACATAAAGATGCTAAATACATCCTTGGCAAATACTGATGTAGATAGGAATTCCATTAGCTATCAGCTCTACTCTAATTCACAAAATAATAAGCTGATAATAATTTTGTTCCTATGTATTAATTTTTTACTTATTCAAACTCACCTGTCCCAGAAAAGCAGAGCTATGTAACCTAAATATGAAACAATAAATAAAATATAAATAAACCAAATCCATCATACATAAATCATTAGAGATAGAGGAAAAGCTCCTAACTTGGTTCTGCACCACTTGAGAGGCTGTTCTGTATCGCTCCCGTATTAATTTACCAGGTTCACCTGTAATGGAAATCACAGTAAGCAGCATACAACACAGCGCTATCAGTTACACTAAACTTGTCACTACTTCTTTTGAAAAATTGCATGACCTCCTTCACTTTGATAAATGACAAAATGAAGCGCATAAGAGGGAAATTTGGGAACATAGGGGGAAGTACGTGAGGGGATATTGTAGCTGTGCAGAGACTGACATTATCCTCAGTTACTACCAGTGTTAGCCACAACTAAGAAGAACCTTCGCAAATCTGCAGAGGTACTCAGCTTCTTCAGGGACTTAGATCGTTGCCCTTGTACTAAAGAACTATCTTCATGTAAACTTTCCTCTTATTACTTATAACATGTCTTTACTTCATTTAAAAAAAAAAACTAACTTATCAGAGTTTATATGTGAATTTTGTTTGTAATTTTTCTGAATCTTTTTTTCTTTTTGAACCTAAAAAATCAAAAACTTTTTTGAATTTTCCTACACCATTTGAACTTTCTGAAAATTTATAAATACATAATCATATGGTAAAGAGCATAGGGTCACGCAAAGAAGCTTCCACAGGATTTTTTAAAACAGCTGGAGAGACTTGCATTAGGGCTGTGGATTCTAATTGTGTAAGTATGCTTGTATATGTGTGTATCTATATTCTTATGTTAAATAGTTTAATTTTGGAGCTTCCTTAAAGCACTTCTTCAGGGTGTCCTACAGTAGGCACAACTTAGAAGACTGAAAAGTTCTAATACTCCCTCTGTCCCTTATTTTTTGCCCCATATGACTCATAAAGCTCTCACAAACAAGTGGGCCATGGAGCAATCAAAAAGGGCCTGAGGGAGCATGTATTTAGTGATCAAGAGAGGCATAACTATTATGCGGAAAGAAGGCCTTCGAGATAATCAAGACATTGGATATGTATGTACGGAAAAACATGATGGGCCATGCACAACCATATGCAAATTCTTGCTAACAAATTGACTTATAAGAGAGTATATTAGGTTGGTAATAGTGAGCCTACAAGGTTGGATACCAAGAATCAAATGTAAGCACCATTGATTGACAAATTTACTGGCCAAGATTGCAACATCCATGCATTTGAGTGAGGAAATAAGAGAGGCAAGAAGCATCCACAGAAACAGAACAATCAAAACTTAGAGACAACACACAGCTCATGATAAAGATAAAACTAAGGCTGTTCTTTCACCATCAAACATATAAATGGTAGGAGAAATAAGTTCAGATAAATTTGAGTACGTTCATTGAGTCGAATATGTTAGTATTAGTAAGGGCTTCCAAGTCCAAATACTTCTAGAAAGAAGGAAGACATTCGTATAAGTTCTAACAAGTTCAGGATAAGGTTTTTTTTTTTTTAATAAAAAAACACTTTTTAAACATCATCAAAAAATAATTATCACAAAAGATTCTGTTATATAATTATGTGTGAAGAGAATACAGATAAAAGTCATTTTTCATACCAGCTTTTTCGGATTCCAGTTCTCCAGCAGATATTATAACTGGCTCGACTTCCATAGCCCGGAAAATAAGCTCAGTTTGGAATGTCTTCCCTTGACCTTTTCCTCCCCAAATTCCTGTCCAATAAGTGACATTATATGTAACTTTGTCTATACAAAAATAAATAAATAATAAATAATACAAAACAAAGGTTGGAAACCTCTTCAATCAGTTAATTAAGTAATTGAGTATACGACTCACTCCTAGCTGAACCTATTTGGTCACACACAATAGCATAGAACAGATTAAGCAGTGGACTGTAAAACTCAAAGCCCAACATTCACAAGTCTAACTAAGGGCTTGGGGAAATGTGCACATGCATGGGCTTGGATAAGTGCATGGCTTTGTGCGTTTGTGCATTGTTTCCCTAAGGTGGCTTGGTAAGTTTAGAATCTAACCAAGGCTATTTGATTATAAAGGCTAATGCATAAGATTTCCAAACATACATATGTTTTCATTTGCCGATCAAAGCAAGAATGCTGAACTTAAACACCTAGCCATAAGAGTGAGGGAGATCAGATTTTGTTTCTCCATTGTTCTAAGCTAGCAATCTCATTGATAATTCGATCTTTGTAGTGTGGATAGATCAATAGAGGGATCAGCGAGGAAGAACATGCTACAAAATTCTAAATACGTAGTACTTCCTCCGCTTTTAAATACTTGCTCCATTCTTCTTTCTCCTGGCACGATGCCGATGCTAATCTTTGATCAATAATATCATTTAGTATAAATTCTAACAATTGAAAATTAATAATCTATTCATCAAGACAATTCCAACAAGTACCCACAGAACTATATTTTTTCTTATTTATAAATCACATACATTAGTCAAAGTAGGACAAATTAATTGTGCAAAAAGTAGAAATTGAGCAAGTATTTAAAAACGGATGAAGTAATATTTATGATTAACATGTATATATCAATATTTTTTTTTGCAAAATCATATTTTTACATCAAAACCTATCAAAATTTAGTGTAAATTACAAGCCAATCAATTAATCAAAGCCTTAATCTCATAAGTGGGGTCGACTACATGAACTAAAAGTAATTATTCCGTATAGTCATCCACAAAAATCTTCCTCCATCCCTTACGATCAAAAACCTCATTATCTTGCAAACCCATTTGCTTTATATCCTTCCTAACTCTTTCCAACCAAGTCGTTTTCGACCTTCCTCTACCTCTTTTAAACTCTCTATGATCCCACTCTTTCACTCTTCGTACTGGTGCACCCTTAGATTTGTCTGCAATACCCACTTTCTTACGAATAACTTCATTTCTAATTCTATTTCTTAGAGTGTCCTCGAACATCCATCTTAACATGCGCATTTTCTTTTTAATGTGCTCCTTAGAAGTCCAACATTTTGTACCATAAAGCAACATTGGTCTTATGGAAGTCCTATAGAGTTCCCCTTCAACTGTAAAGGAATGCTTCGCTCACATAACACTCTCGTGACCGCTTGCCATTTAAGCCACCTCGACTTAATCTGAGAGCCACATCTTGATCAATGTCGCCATTTTTTTAGATGGTCGACCCAAGATAATTAAAACACTTACTCATAGTTAAATCCTTTCCATCCAAACTCACTACAAAATCGTTTGTCCCTTTCTGTGTACCAAAACGACATACCAAATATTTTGTCTTTACTCCGTCTTAGTTTATACCCTCTGGATTCCAACCTTTGCTTCCATTCCTCCAATTTGGCATTAACCCCATTTTTAGTTTCATCCACCAAAACAATATCATCCACAAACAACAAATACCATGGTACCTCATCTTGAATTGTCCTGGTTACTTCATCTAGAACCGTTGCACAAAGAAAAGAGTTTAACGCAGCCTAATAGTAGATATTGTCTTCTTTGGGCCCTAGCCTTTAAGGATTTGCTTTGGTGCAGGACAAAAGTTGCACCCAAAAGACCTCATTTCCATTGAGGTACCAACCCCTATGCAAGGAAGGCTTTGTTCTCTTCAACTTCCAATGTGGGAGCGCCATGGGCACCTTATAAATTTATTACCATTAAAGTCAATTATTAAATATTTTAGCGCAAAACCTTTTATGAATTTAAACCTCTTGTTTGAAACTTACAATTTTTCTTTTCAGAAATTTCCTTGAATTAAGTTGATTTTAAAGTAACTTCAAATTTCTTACAAATGAGTCGTTAATTAGTTGTTCCGATGAGAATTGGGTAGTTTTAGGAAGGGCATGCATATGTAATTAATTTTTCAATTCTTTTATCATGCTAAATGTGATTATATAAATTGTTGGTCTATGTGACTTATGTGATAACTGTACATGTCCTTTTTGTGCCATTTAAGTTAATGCATGAATATATAATAACGAGTTCTTACCATTTTTGTATTGTTGTGTATGCTTATGTTGTTTCCTTTTGAATACTTGCTTGCGTTTGGAAGACGTAGAGAAGAGAAAAGTGACACAATAATCATGTCTAGGAACAGAAAAGAAATGGGAAGTGGGGATACTACAGAAATCATGGACAGGATTTAGTTCCAAAGTTAGATCAATTCGAGGAAGGGTATTAAGACTTGCATGAGTTTAGAATAGCTGAAAACAAAAAAGCATAAAATTAAGAGTTACCAGAGGATTTAGTTCCAAAGTTAGATCAATTCGAGGAAGGGTATTAAGACTTGCATGAGTTTAGAATAGCTGAAAACAAAAAAGCATAAAATTAAGAGTTACCAGAGGATTTAGTTCCAAAGTTAGATCAATTCGAGGAAGGGTATTAAGACTTGCATGAGTTTAGAATAGCTGAAAACAAAAAAGCATAAAATTAAGAGTTACCAGAGGATCTTTCATCAGTTCACTCTAGACATCCTCACATATGATGAAGAAGATTTGATAACTAGATGGTCCATGAGCTTGTTGTAATACTCCGATATTGACATACTACCCATAAATTCATGAGTTTTTTGCTTCCTCGAGAAAGGTGGGTAAAAACTTCTCTTTCAATGCAGCCTTAAACTACTAGTGTTTAAAGGGGGTGTTGACCCTACCTTTTTACAGAATTGGGAACGAGAGCTCAATAAGATATTTGTGGCCCTAAACACTTCAAAGGAAATGAAAGTGGACCAAGCTGCCATGTACTTGAAAGAAGAGGCCAGCCAAATTTTAGATGGGAAGCCTTTAAGAATGCACTGAAAGAAAAGTTTTACCTGAGGAATTTATGGGTAGTATTTCAATATCAGAGTACTACAAAAGTTCATGGACCATCCAGTTATCATACTCTTCTTCATCATATGTGGGGATGTCTAGAGTAAACTGATGAAAAATCCCTGGTAAGTCTTAGTATTATGTTTTTGGTTTTTAGTTGTTCCAAAATCATGCAAGTCTTGATGTTCTTCCTCAAATTGATCTAACTTTAGAACTAAAATCCTGTCCGTGTTTTCTATAGTATCCTCACTTTCCACTTCTTTTCTGTTCCTAGACTTACCACGTCACTTTTCTCTTCTCTACGTCATCCCAACGCAAGCAAGCATTCAAAAGAAAACAACATAAGCATACACAACAACAGAAAACCGGTTAGATTTCGTAATCTATAATCATGCATTAACTTAAATGGCACAAAAAGGACATGTAAAGCTATCACATAAGTCACATACCTCAACAATTCATATAATCACATTTAGCAAGATAGCATTGAAAGATTTATGACATATGCATGCCCTTCCTAAAACTACTCAATCTCATAGGAACAACTAATTAACGACTCATTTGTAACAAAATCGAAGTTGTTATAAAACCAACTTAAACATATTCTATAAAATTTCTAAAAAGAAAATTTACAAGTTTCAAACAAGTGGTTTAAAATCATAAAGGTTAGCCGCTTAAATAGTCAAATAAATTGGCTTTAGTGGTAATAAGTTTATAAGGTGCCTATGGCGCTCCCACATTGGAAGTTGAGGAGAACAAAGCCTTCGTTATATGGGGGTTGATACCTCAACGGCTCAAGCTAGAAAATCCTTACAGACTAGGGCCCAAAGAGGACAATATCTACTAGTAGGCTCATGTTGATGTGGGGTATTACATCACATTTGTTGATACATCCCAATAGATATCCTTAACTAGGTCCATGTACCTTCGCGGGATACCTTTCTTCAACATTACCCACCAAAGTACCTCTCTTGGCACCTTGTCATAGGCCTTCTCTAAATCAATAAAAACCATATGGAGGTCCTTCTTCTTTATCCTACAAAACTCCATCATTTGTCTTAACAAATGGATTTCTTCCATCATAGATCTCTTGGGCATAAAACCAAATTGTTTACAAGCTGTCTCATTTTTTAATGAAACATTAAGATGAAAAAAGCAAAATCATTCGGTATAGATGCATTGATTTCTCAAATAAAATAAAGGAATAATGAGGCATTTCTACCATTGGCACAATAAATAAATGTAAGAACCACATTTCTTCAAGAGCATTGCAAGAAAATAGAAAAACATAGATAGCTTAAGCTCGATGTAAATATCTTTTTCTTATTTTTTTTTTTTTTCCGTGTTATTTCTCGTATGATATTCCAATGACACACTAATAATTGTAAAAAGTACAAACTTCCATAGATCTATATCCAGGAAATCTGAATAAATCCGTTTTTTTTTTTTTAAAAAAATAGGCTTTGTAAGAATCCAGCTAAAAATTAGCGCAGTACTATCATTATTCCACTGTGTAAGGAAGTCTGCCAATAGGACCGCAGAATTCACTCCAATCACCCTAAATAAAGAATCAATCCTTGCATAACAATCCAATATGGAGTAGGGGTGTTACACTTTCACTAATTTTTCTCTTTTCTTTTTCAGTATCCAATGAAAAGTGAAATAGCAAGAGAGATTTACCTAGGATTAGAGGAACTTTAGCGTTCAGATGATGAGCAATGAAATTCTTTACAATGTGGCAAACTGCATAAACAAAACAAAAAAAGTAGATAATATCAGTATATAATCCAAAGACAAGATCACCCTTGAAAGGAATTTATGGTACTACAATTACTAATTAATTGAAAATTCCAATTGCGACTTCTATTTATTAAGTTGTGACCAATTAGAAAGATGGTGTGCAAGAAATGAGATGCATTGCCCTTTAGATTTTAGTAATTTAGTTTTTCTTGGACACTTCGTTTAACCAAAAGGATAACAAATAACATTCCACCTTAGTCTAATATAGGATTTCTTTGCAAAGATATTGGAATATCGCAAACATAAATAGATAATTTGGTCCTAGCAAAGCAAATATACAGACAAGCTAAAGACACATTCAAACATGCCGCTTAAGAAACTTTCCTTATTTGAACAGACATTTTAATCTAAATATAGATCCACCTAGAACAGTTTAACACCGTAATACAAGTAGTGACTACCATTTTTGTCTTCCTCTCATGCTTTTTTGCCATCCCTATTTCAAATATACCCATAAGTACAGTACAAAGCATACTCACTGGCAGATCTATGCAGTAACCAGGGAGGCACGTGCCACCCCCAGAACAACTGAAAACAAAAAAGAGAAGTAGTTGTTTCATTTTTGTTTTTCTTTTTTTTTTTTTCTAAAGGCTAAACTATACTTTGCATATCATAAACTGCATGTAAATCACAAATAAATACAGTTGCCTTAGTGGCAGTTAGACTTATGCTTTATTTTTGCATAGATCAGGGTATCAGTTCACCTTAGTACCATTTGTGCAAAAAAACAAAAAAAAATGTTATTCCCATTTTCATTCATCTTTTCTTCTTTTATTTCTTATTTACTGTATCAAATTTTTATGTTCAAGTATTGCTCGGTTGCTCCTCTTATTCATTGAGTCAATGGTTGTAGATGACCTAAATTTCAAACTAGTGGCACTAATCTTGCCTTTACAATATTGTATTTTCTGACAAGACCTCAATAATATTACAATTAATGAGCAATTAGTGTTAGTGTGTTACTAAAGTATACTTTTATGCTTTATTGTTGTTTACTGTTGTATAGTTTTGTCAATCTTAGATCTGCCACTGAGCATACTTATCAAAAACATATGTTGATATTCCTGAAAGTCAGTTGGAGAATTGAACTGAGGTTGTGTAAGAAACAATGTCCTTGGGAAAGCACCTTATCGAGTTATTGGTGGAATGGTTTGTAGTTCATGATTTGCACACCATAGTTTCTGCTCACAATAAATCAATCACTATATGTAATCTCAATTAAGTCATGAATTGTTTCAAAAAAAAAAAAAAAAAAAAAATCAGTCATGAATTGCATAAATGTTGGCTTATGTTAGAACGATGAAGAAAACTGTCATCAATTTTTTATTAGTTTCCTGTATCTTGTGGTATTTTCAGATGGGTTGAATAAACAGGAGACCAAGGAGATTAATTACAGCATGACAGATTTCAGTTACAGAAAGGGAAATCCAATGTGTAAAAACTGTAAACTACATGATTACTGTTTTTATGACCTTGGGGTGACAAGAGGAATTGGAGCAAATTTGACAAGAAGGAAATTCATCAGCAGACTTGATGCACGTCTAGTTCCAAATATGTATCAGGTAATTCAAATAGGTTAGCAGTCCTGTAGCAAATATTTTAGACTAATTGATCAGTTATGTGCGCTTCTCATTTTTCTATCTTTAGCTATTACGTTACTTGTATAATTTTATAATAATACATACATACTAGCTAGATAATTATTATTCAATAGTCAGGTTATCACCACATGTTTAAGGCATATTTCAGGAATTTGTGATTTAAAAGCCAAGGAGAATTTGGGTTTTCCAGATGTATACAGCAAAATATGGTAACTTTTCAAGGAAATTTAAAAAGAAGATGACAATCATACATAAATTATTACACTGTTATACACTTATACCTACTGCATGCTCCAAACAGCAGATAGTATTGGAAAATTCAAGCATGATGCAGAGTAAGATAGAACAATAACAAAGGAAAAATTTGCTTCAGATACAGATTACCCAGTCACAATTATGAATGAAGAAATCATCTGAAAATATGCTATCGTTGGATTGTTCTGGGCAACTTACCAACTTTATCCTGTCACATTAGAAAAGAGAAGAAACTACAGTGGGTTACTTTTGTTAGAATATTAAAGTTGACAGAAAAGGGGTCACGTGAATAGATACAGAAGAAAAAAATACAAATTTGATAATCTGCCCATTGTTACAGACAACATCAACAATATAAGCATGAATTTATGATGTGAAGCAAGTTGAACATAAGTATTAGCAAAAACCTCAAACAGCAGAAATGAACATAACTCGTAGAGTCAACCATTAATTCATTATTACCTTAGTCAACCATTCCATAAAAACTTAATTGTGCCGCAAAGACTCAAATAATTTACTAAAGTTAAATCTTTTTCAAACCAAAAAGTTCATGCCAAAGCATTCTCTTAGCAGTAAACCGCTTCTTTTGGCTTGCACTGCTCCTCAAAGCATTCAAAATCATCAAAACAAGTGAAGCAAAAATGTAAAATTCACAGGTTGAAAGCATAGTATAAGCTGTTGAATGCATGTGGGCCTATCTGTGTACTTCAATCAGATCCTTTTTGTTCTATCAGTGGAAGGATGCTTCTATGGTTTAGCATTATAATTTGAAACCTAATGCAATCAGGCATGAGCATTCTACTTTCCAAATTTCATTAGCCCTTTTACACCATCTAGTGTGAGAAGAGTAGTTGGATTATTGCAGGAACTAAACTTCCATCCTCTAAAACTGATCCTGCTATAATATTGAATTTCCTCACTGTGATGGTACACAATTCAATGCACAAAATGCAATCGTAAAGTACCCAAAGTTACACATGTATCAGAAACACAATGAGCAAAGTTCCTCTAACACCACTTGGTGAAAGAAAACAAAAAGGTTATATTATAAACTCCTAAGCTTCACTCACCAAGGTTCATATTAGGAGGGGATAAGATAAATTTGTTTTTGGCTTCACTTTAAAGAAGCTAAGGGGTTTTACTCCTTATAACAGGGATCCTTTGAGTCACTTCACTCACAAAACAGAGTAATACATGCAAGGAATATTCTTTCACTTAAATCGTTTTCAATCAAGATTACAAAAAAAAAAAAAAAAAGGGAAATTCTACATGGTGGCCTCAAGTATATAAAAATTCTACATGGAAGACAATGTTTTTTTGCATTCTCTTAAGTGGCACTCTAGATTCATAATCAAGTATAGTGACCTTTTTTTGATTTTTTGGCTAACCATTAGTTTTAAACTAAGCAAATCAACTAACCCCCTTCCCAGCCACCAAACCTACCACCATCGCTGCTGCTAGCCACCAAACCCACCACCATCACTGTCGCCAGCCACACCACACACGCCTGTCGCCACTGCCTCCTCCCTAGCCTTACACCACCCAAACCTACCCACCACCAGCCCAACCCAATTTTACTAGCCCACTCACGAAAACCACCTCCTTTTCCGCAGCCACCACTCGAAACTCAAAACCCTAGCCACCATGTAGAATTTCCCTAGCCACCACCCTCGAAACCCCAACCCAACCACCGTATGACATCGAAACCCTAGCCACCACCCTCTAAACCAGCCCTCGAAACCCTAACCTAATTACCAGCATATGAAAACCGAAATCCTAGATTGAAACCCTAAGAAGGTTTAATTTAGGGTGGTTTAGGGTTAGGGGGCGGCATTTCTTGTTGGAGGAAGGGGAGGGGGGATCGAGTCAGGGTGGTTGACAAAGGAGGTAGGCCGTTTCGCGGTGGTGGACAAGAAAGGGGGTCGTTTCATGGTGGGATGTCGGGCTAGGAAATGAGGGGGTGGGGCTGTGGGGGTGTCGTGGGTGGGAGGTAGGGTCACCGGCATGGGGGAGGGGGCCTGGGGGAGGGGGCCTGGGCGCTGGCAGTTGGTGGAAGAAGGGCGGTGGCTATGAAGGGGTGGTGGTTGGGTAGTGGTTTAGTTGAAGAGGATGGGCCGATGGGTTAATTAGTTTAATAAAACTAAGATTAGCCATTACAATAAAAGTTAGCCATAAAAGTAAAAAAAGGACACTATACTTAATTATGTAGAAGTAGAGTGCCACTTAAGAGAATGCAAAAAAACATTGTCTTCCATGTAGAATTATTATATACTTGAGGCCACCATATAGAATTTCCCATAAAAAAGAAAAAAAAAAAAAATTTAAAAATTCATGTCGACTAATACATTCACCTATATCAGCTAAAAATGGAAAATATATAGACACACTTCAATAGTTCTATATTGATTGGAATGCTACAAAAACTCAAGATCACATAAAGTCCTATATCCCATCAAGTTAGGTTCTAAACTTCAATTATTACCTTATCAAATCGCAAAACACAAAAAGTCTTAATCTAGACGGAAACATGCAAAAACACAAGCAGACTCAATGTATATCACAATAATCACATAGTTGCACTAAGTTAAACGAACTGCGTAAGTTGATAAGAACAACTGTTGAATAGCTCAAATCAAGACAATAAATCGTCTGAAAAAATTGCCTGAACAATTCTGATTATTCCTTGCTAAGCTAATCCTGAAATCAATTGATATTTAAATCCGTACTGCGGCCAAAATTGGACAGACACGCGCACCTGAGCAACCCCTAAGATAGCTACCCCAAGTTTTCTTTTACTAGACCTTGGTCTTCTAGCTGTTTTTGTGTCAACAATAACCAAGCATGCAGCATATACGGTATCCTTAGTGCAGGCACCTTTGAATCAAGTCTAACATACTGCCAACTAATTGGAATCCATGTGATTTCAAACCTTCCTGCCTAAATGATCTGAATTCAACCATTTCGCAGCACTTGAATCCAAAACAGAGACTAAAATACTGGCTGTAAAATACAATTCCCCCGAGAGTGGCAATCTTCAGATTTTCGACCACAGTAAACTCCTAGTTCAGCCACGTTGCTTAGTAGCTATATGACACAAACACATCTGCTTGATAACAGTTCACCTATTACCAATAAGCTCGCTCATGTCTAGCACCCAATTAATGCACTATCAAATATTATAAGTCCATATTTTCTCAAATGTTGTTTGAATGCGTAACATAAGTGACCCTAAAAAAGTTGAAAGACTATTAAAATGATTAATCTTGGTTTGACTGCTAGTGGTCTTTAATTTTAGAAAGTATCCATTTCAAAACCAAACGGTTCAGAAATCCAAAATAATGAACCATAACAGACCACGTCAAGCATTCACAATTAGATGATTAGGGTTACCTCATGGTACAGATCCTATTGCTGACAAGACTGCAGGAGTTAGTATGTACACACTACTCCGCCCTGCACTCCTACCACAACTAGCCAACCTTAGTAGGGAAGCAACAAGATTATTTGTCATGTATTTGAAATCATTACAAGTAAGTTTTCAATCATACAGGTAATCAATCTCATTCATATTCCAACCTTAAACATTTTAAACGCAAAGCAAGACTAAGAATCATGTATATCATAAGAACATCAATTAAACAGCATATAAACAATCATACAAACGAAAGAATTATGGATAAAGAAAAGAATCTAACCAAAAATAAGGGAGCGATGTAGTAATCGCCTTGCAAGTATTCAAACGACCTTGTGACCTTCTGTCTATAGTCAAATACAATGTCCGCTGCATATTGCCAAAACAAAAACAAAAATCTCTAAGAAGTTGAATCTTTCCAGTGGATAAATGTAAGCAAAATCATCACATGATCCAAGAGTACCATGAACATACCATATAATTCGATTGAATACAAACGAAAAAAGACCCATTAATCATTTCACATGTGTAGACATTTAGCCACTTAGGTGTAGCAAAATTGTAGTCTAAATCATACATTTCTGTATAAGGCATGTTTAATAAAAATTTTGTATTGCTTGCCAAACAAAGTAAGGCCCTGTTCTTTAGAGCTACTCTCCTCTGCTAAAATATGCTTTGCTCTGCTGAAATTTGCTTTGCTGTGTTGTGCTATGCTCCGCTGAGTGAAATTTGATCTGCTCTGCAATGTTGAAATCTGTTCTGCTGACCTGAAATCTACTCTGCCTAGAAGCTTGAAAGAACATAACCTAACAATGTTGCTCTTAAATACTAGAACGATACTATTCTGGTTTACACCATATGTTAATTTATACTACTCCACTCCAAATTAATTTTAACATTGTTTTTAATGTTTAATTTGGAACAGTGTGACAACTTTTTTCCAACATCCTAACTAGGGTAATCGATTTAATTCTAAAGTACATCCTCCGCTCTTTTTAACCGCAACATATATCTTTACTAGAATAGTGCAAAGTTACTTAAACACTATAATTGGTCAATTTAGTTACTTAAAAACTATAATTGGTCAATGATTTTATTTATTTAATTTTTTTTTTTTATCTCTCTTCTCATCACATCGGTCTCTTATCTTTCTCGCTATATGTTTCCTCTCTTAGAATACCGCGCATCCCCTATATTGCAATTACGAAAATGAAAATGATACAATTCTAAGTTTCCAACAACATGATGGTTTTTGAATATTGATAACATATTCAAAATGCAACAACAACAACAACAACAAAAAAAACAAAAAAAACAAGAAAAAAAAAAAAAGACGGGAAGGAAGCATTACCGTCTCGGCCGAGGAAATTGCCGGCGAAAAGATCATCGATAACACCCGACTTAGCTCCCACAGCAATGTTCATATTATCAGCCTCAGCACCAAGCCTATAAAGATAATCATTGCCCCTCGAATCCTTCGTTTCCCACGACGATTGCTCCGACAATCTCTTCTTTTGTTGCGTGATCGAGGAATCTTCCGATTGATTTGAATTATTATCGGCTGTAATTTCATCTCCCTTGTTCAATTGCTGGAAAATTGTGAAATTAATTGGTGAAACACGAATTGGAAAAGATTTACGGATTGATTGAGATAATTTATGAGGAAAGGAGTTGAGGAAAGAGAGAGATTTGAGATTGGAGAGTGGGGTAGTGTTCATGGTGTTGATTAGGAGAGCCATGGGAGTAGCTTTGCTGAAATTTCAGTGGAGCTCAGCAAATGATTCAGAGGATTGATTTTGGTGGTTTTTGTCATTTTGGCGCTTATTCGAGTACTAAACTATGCCCGCTTTTTACCGGGTAACGTATGTATTTTTATACAAACGATCTTCTTTACCCTCAATTAAATTGGTCTTTCAACGAGTTTTCATTCACTTCACAAACTTTGACTCCTCTCTCTACCAAAGTCACCACCACCAAGTAACTTTGACTCCTCTCTCTCTCTCCACCAAAGTAACTACCACCGCCCATGATGTACGAGGATTCGATGGAGGATGTCGGGTAACCGTAAGGCAAAGGAGTCGCTGCCAGCAAGCAAGTAAATTTCTGGCTATGAGAAACTCCTAGGAAATTCGAAATGCTAGGCCGAAAACGCCTGATATTTTTTATCCCCCGAGGAAGATCCAAAATATTTAGGCGTTCGTTCTAATTTTCTGGGTTTTTGGTTCTCAATGTTCAAGTTTCTTATAATTGGGAAGGTAATATAGACGCATATAGGTTTAAGTTTTATCATCAACTCTACAATCTGAACATATGTGAATTGCACCACGCCATCAAGGTTGAAGCATTTGTAGTATGAATTGTGCCGAGAATGCCAAATAGTATTGTTTTGATAGTTAAAGATATGTGGTTTGTAGATTTATATTACCATTGTAATTATCAAAAAAAACCTTTTTAATTAGTGGTTTGGAGGATCAATATTCAATATAACTTCTACCTATTTTTTAAAGCAAGAACCATCAATCTAGGAATCATTAATATATAGTATATTCACAACTAGCCAATTACAATGTGAGGACCAGGGATCCTTATACTACGTAAGTTACAACCAACAAAACATTTTCCATTAATCACCAGTATCTGACAGCAAAAAAATATTTAGTCATGAAAAAGTGACTCCATGATGCCCCTTAAAAAGTGAATTGCAAACGATACACAACTTGAAGCTCACTCAACTTCCATCACATTATAGGCCGATCCTTGACTTTTCACAATACAATCTTCTGACTGATAATACTGTATTAAGTGTTAAAATTCACTTTCATTACCCAATACTGACAAGACGACAAAAACTCATCTCTGCTCGTAACACAACGCCGTGTTGATCAGCTATGCTCATAAGGCCATAAGTATCTAAGTACCAATACCAATACTAAGACCAAGCTGTCCTTTCGATTTGTTTTTGCAGGAAAAACCTACTCCTGTTGACGACCATAGCGACATGTGACTTCCTCTCCTTCTATCAGCTTCTCAACAGCATCTGAAGGAAGACCAATCATCTCTAGACTCTTCTCCCAAACCCTGGTTGAAGTTCCAATGTTGTGTGCCTCTTCTGAAGGATTTGAGGGGCGACAATCCTGGGAAATGAAAGCACAAGTAGGCCATTCATCTGCCTTTAACAGCTCACAGTATTCTGGAATCTGAGGATCAGTTGCAGCAAAAAGGGTACTTCTAGAACCTGCAATTGTGAGAGTACAATTTAATTTTCAGATGCCAGTATTTTTTGTTAAAAAAATATTTTATGAGAAACAATTAGGTTTCTCAGAAGTTATCAGACAAAAACAAGTTTTTCAGAAGTCCTCTGGCATTGTCAGAAGCAAATTTCTTTTCACATCAAATTTGTCTTCATATATTAGTACATACTAATGAAGCTTACAGTCAAAGAACTTGAGCTAGATTACAATGGACTATAAATTTAAAATACAGATACAAAAGATAAGAATAATAGTGAGATCAAGAAATCAAAAAAAAAAAAAACAAGAAATCACTACACTACTCTAAAAACTACTCAATTTGTCAAGGTTGATGATACCCTTTATTATTAATTGTTCTTAACAATTTGAAGTTCAACCAACCAACCATGGATAAGTGTCACAGTATCTGCAATGACTTGCCGAAAAAGTGAAAATAAGTAGGAGAAAATCGCTGGAAAGGAACCAGAGGCAGTGGGAGGAAGAGGAAATAGAGGGCGAAACAGCAGAAAGTAAGCAGCCTGCTTCACAAATGACAAAATAGTATTGATCACAATCTCATAGCCTGAGTAAGTATGGATTCTGAAGGAGAGAATGAAGGAAGAACTCCACTGGAGAAGAGAGAGAGAGAGAGAGAGAGAGGAATAGATGAGGGAGCAGTGAAGAGGAAAAAGATATACAAGATGAAACAGCAGATAGTAAGCCCAAGCAGCCTGCTTCACAACACAGTTTCGAATTACAATCTCATAGCAAGAGCCAGGAGACGACAACGAAATGCCAGCAAGTACAGATTCTGAAGGAAAGAATGCAGGAGCAGAAAATTCCCTTGAGAGAGAAGAGGCGAGGAGGGGGAGGGGGGTACCAGAAGCTCTTAAAGTTCTCAGACGCCATTGACAGCTGGTGCTGGTTGGTGATGGGGAAGAGAAGAACAGACAAATGACTTAGTGACAGTGATGTCCTGACAGAGGTAGAGTCTTGATGGGTGGTAGAGATGGATTTATATAACATAAAACTATTTAAAACCATATCATGTAAGCACTTAACAGTAAAACTAACAGCTGAATTCACTATAGGACAGCGGATCAGGTATTCAAAATTAGAGTAATATACTAATCTGTTAGCTAGAAAAGAAAGACTTAAATATTGTTTCACAAGATAGAATTGTCAAGAGTTAAAAGGGTAACATATATAATTCCCCAAGATAAAACTCCGTATATTCTTGTAGAGCAGCTTGGTGATATTCATACTATTTTAATATCTATCTGGCCCGTTTTATAGCTGGTTATTCTTAACAGTAATTTGAATAAATTTGAGTGTAACTTGACAAGGTAGCATCCTAAAAAAAATTAGAAAATTTCCGTCTAGTTTTAAAGTGCTCACCAACAAATTTCTTAAATTTCCCAGCTATTCTATTTCCATCATAGAATGATTATTCGATTCTCTTTCTTTTCGTCTTTCGATCAAAACTTTTTTTGATCGGATCGAAAAATTCTTTGATTCTTCCGCTTCGATGAAATCGGAATAGCTACTAGACTACTCGATTTGATTTGTATGAATTCAAATGGGATTCAACTCTTTTTTATTGATTGTTGAAAAAGGAGTTGGGGGCTTTTGCAATCTCATTCCATAGTTTATTTATTTATTTATTTCATAGTTTTGCAATCTCATTCCCAACAATTTATTTATTTATTTATTTTCCATAAATTTGGTGGTATTTTGGGAAGAAGAAAAGGGTGAACTAGCATTACCAATTTACCAAGGTCATTGATTTTACTTACAAATCAATATCAAATATTATTCCCAGCACCACCATTTATTACCCCTGACCAAACAGGCTGTTAAGGACATACATGTATCATGCAGCCATATTTCAGCATGCAAGGTTGGTGACACAACAATGTTACTTGCAAAAGGACAAGCTCAACAGAAAATACAAGTAAAAAGTATGACGGCCAACCTTCTTCAGGACTAAAAATGAAGTATGGTATCAGATGGTAAGCAGCTTGAACAACTTTGGAAAGATCTCTTGCCTGCAAGAAATCAGCGACTTACACTCCCTTTCTTTGTTTGAAGAGTGACAAAAATAAGCAAACACAGGGTCAAGCTGAGCAAAGAGTTGAGTTCATGTGCTTACAACATTGGTATGAACAATGCCTGGCGAGACACAAACAACATTAATGCCAGACTCTGCTGGTAACCGTTTCTGAAAGATACTGCTAAACATGATCTGAAAGACACAAAACTGAGCCCTTGAGTAGCAAATAATTGTAATACACATGCATGAAATATTATTTCAAAATGCTCAATATAGAAATCCAATTACCTTAGCTTACACGTTTTTCCTATTAAGCCTCAGGCCAACTAATTGAACCTCGAATTAAATCTCCACCAGAGTGCAAATAAAAGAAACAGGTGCAACAAAGAGCAATAATATCACAAACCTAACATATGAGGATTACATAGGGATTTTAGAGTTTAAGCTCTCAATTTTCTTCACCCTGCTAAAAAATTGTTGACCAAAACACATAATCTTCTATCAACATCTTGTACAAGTTTTATAATTTTGTTAGACATAATTTGAGGAATAAGCTGAGAATTTGTTAGAAATTAATCAGTGAAAAGAAAATCATAATTGTCTAAGATATAGGAGAATACAGTAGGCAAAACTGATCCATACCCGACTACTTGAACCAAAATACCCGACCCGAGTTGTCTACCCAGAATCATTATTTCTCCCTGGCCCATACCCGACCTGACCCAATAATCAATGTACCTAATAATGATTAATTTATTAATATAAGCTTATTGTAATAGAGCAAAAAATGATCTGAACTGACCTAAACTTAAACCCGAACACAAAATCTGCCCAACGAGTCTAACCTCATAATTAGCCGACCTGAATTGTTCCGAACCGAATAACTTGATTGCCACCTCTATAGGAGTAGTGAGAAAGAAGGGTAAGATGAATATTAATGAGAGTTTATTTTAGTAGTTTTGCTTTTTAGGGGAGACCAATCCTCTCAAAAGCTTCTACTTTATCAGTAGTGTCAGTTGTTATATTAAGGCAAAGCCATGGTTAGTTTTATGACTAACATTTGTCAGAATAATGTCAACTATCAACTTTTTGTCTACAGCGATGAAAATGAATAAATAAGCAACAAGACCGAAACCTCACTGATGCCTGAACATGAAATTGTCTCCAACATTGTCAACAATATGACAAAAGGTGAATATCAACAGCAAATATGATCACTGCCGACTCAAGAAATAAAAAAATAAAAAAAAAGTAAATGCAAATAAGAGTTTAAGTAAACCTGAGCAAGTTTGCTGCTTGAGTATCCCACCAAACTTGTAAATTTTCTCTTTCCGGTAACAACATTCAAATCTTCAGGATCAACAAAACCAATAGAATGCATCTACAAGAACAAATTGCAAAACATAAGTCGGGGAAAGCACTCGTACACCTCTCCAGCAAAACTTATGAGGATAGCAGCTCCAACAGGTGAAACACAGGTCCATGGGTCATAAAATCCTCAATGAGACTACTCAATTAATATGATTACAGATGGCCAAGGAAAGATTTAGGGTGTGTTTATTCACCTAATTTTCACTTATCTAAATTTATCTTATCTTAATTAAACTTATCTGAACTCCTGAACTTATTAGACCTTATCAGAACTTATTTAAGTTGGAATTTGAACTTGGGTGGCCCTTATCAACCCTTATTAGAAAATTTTCCTGAACTTATCTTAAGTGAATGAGATAACTAGAATAGGCCCTTAATTAGTTGCCTAAAAAAAGTAAACTTACCAAAACTACAATTCTCATCTCCAATTTAAAATGCCCATCTCTATTAAAGCATGTTTTCCTACTATAATAACAAAAAATATGACAACATGCATGACAAATATTCCCAGAAGCCTATGTGTTTAGTGTAATTGGACCAACTACTGAGTAATGAACTGATTCAATAACACTCTGCATAATGGACCAATTAGTGGTTAAGAAATTAGGTAGTGGGTATTCTTTACGGTTTTTCAATTGAGGTGAGAGAAAGTGGGACCATAATGCTATAAGGGAGTAGAGATGAGGAGGAATTGGAAAACATTATCAAATCATGTGGATCCAATTCAAAGGAGAAATGGAAAGTTCTTTGTGCCTTTTTTTTGGAAGGGAAGTTCTTTGTGCCTTTGTGGGACGGAGACAGTATCACTTTATAGAATATCAAAAGCATAGAAATTGAGGCATCTTATTAAATTTCAATATAATTCATCTCTAAACTAATTTCAAGACCAAAGGTGCAGTCAATCATGTGTAGTTCCAGAAGATGCACTATGCAATCATGTTCTAATTTTTTATCCGCAATTATTGTCTGATGGACTCAGGGTAAATCCAACAATCAAACATAGCCTAGTATATACTGATTATCCAGACCCAAAGTATCCAAGATATCCATAAAACTTACCACGGAATTCACATTGATTATGCGACTTGGAGAGCCTCTAATAAGGGAAGGCAAAAGCAGCACCGATAGCATTGCTGGGGCCAAGTGATTCACTTGCATGTGTTCTTCATTACCATCCTTTGAAAATTTTTGTGGCTCTGTATCAACAAAAAATATTCCCCATAAACAGAAGAATGAACTGAACTGACGTGATTTAAAGCATCAAGTACAGAAATACAATCAAAATGAATTCAAAAAGAAGTCAGAGGCAAATAAGTTATAAAGGACGCCCAAAATTAATGACTTGATAGGCAAAAAAAATCACATTATCCCACAATCATGAGCAAAATTGATATTCTTCTCATTTGGCATCTTTTCTTGAAAAACAAGCAATTAGTAATAGTATAGCAATAGCAGCTTCCATTAGTACCCTCAAGCAATTCTATATATGTAGTGGCAAATAAGTTATAAAGGACACCCAAAGCTAATGACTTAATAGGCAAAACAAATCACATTATCCCACAATTATGAGCATTATTAATAATCATCTCATATAGCATCTTGTCTTGAAAAACAAGCAATAAATAATAGTATAGCAATAGCAGCTTCCATTACTACGCTCAAGCAATTCTATTTTGTAGTGGCAATGTCAAAGCCATATAAAAATTCTGTTCATTGGTGAAACAAAGAGAACTGCCAGTCAAACTTTTTTTCTTCTAGCCCATTACTCAAATAAGCACTTACATCAGTTACATGTCCTTTAATATATCTCTTTTTTCTTCTTTAACAATTTCGTGTTCTAAAGGAACCCCTTGATTCATTATTTACTGAAAGCCGCTTTGGTATAGTGGTGTCCAGTGACTGTAGGCTAGTAAACCTCCTGCAGTTGTGGCTGAAACGAACATATATGTATTGTGTAATGGTTCCTTGTGCTGGAGAATATAGAAAAATCTCTCACAAGTTCTCAGTGAATAATGGAGTTGTCCAGAAAATCAAGGGCTTTGTAGCCTTTGTTTAACAGTTGAGTTCAAAAAAGGCAGACTGCACTGGGCCAATGCTCCCTATAGGCTTTTCAAGTTCCTTGAACTGGAGCTCGAAAAGCAAATAAAAAAATTAAAAAGAAAAAAAAATGTCACAGCCAAAGGGAAAATACACTGAAAACACTGGAAAGTAGAGCCAGGTTGGATGTCTTTAGATGGGGTGGAACTCCAGACTTCTCACATGACAAGCACTAACTACAAGAATGATTTAGAATAAAGTGATCTTTAGTGTTACTTTGGACTTGAGTGAACAAGGTGTTTTCAGTGGGCAACCTTACATAATATTCATTCGTTGTAACGCGAGGATGCCTTCCTCTGCCACAACACACATCTCAAGCGATTCCACTTTTTCATTATAGAAGAATTGTATTAACCTTACCAAGTTAGTCTTCACACTTATCAAAGTCAAAATATTTTAGCTGATAAGTTGTTTGATGATAAATTATTATTTTAGATTAAGGCTTTGATTGATTAATTAGTGGCTGCCAAATCGCCAACTGGTTAAGTTATAGAAGAATTGTATTAACCTTACCAAGTTAGTCTTCACACTTATCAAAGTCAAAATATTTTAGCTGATAAGTTGTTTGATGATAAATTATTATTTTAGATTAAGGCTTTGATTGATTAATTAGTGGCTGCCAAATCGCCAACTGGTTAAGTTAATTAAAGTCTAGGGGCATGGTACCTGTTTGGGTTCCCTTGCTGATGGAGTGGTGGGACCCGCCTATTCAAGAAAATTACTAATATACTCTTGCTAAAAATCTCTGGCTATATCTCAAAACTGACGGAGCCCATTTAAAGGCCTACTCCACTTGATTCCATACCCTACAGTTACCAATTATTATGGGAAATACCCCCACAGTTTCCTATGCATAATCAATTGTCACATCATATTCAGATATCAAAAACTGAAGAATCGGATTCTCTCTCTCTCTCTACAGACCATTTCAGTGTCAAAGAGGGTTTCTCATAACACCCCCGAGGTAGCTCACTCTTCTCTTTAGTAGGACTTGGTTCGACCCCCTAGATGAGGTACCCCAGCCACATTGTTTGAGTGCTTCTTCTCAGAAACAATACCCATATAATCCCATCTATGTTATATGCGCTCTAACTACACTAGTGAAAAATAAAATTATTATTTTATTTATAAGATGTGATAGGAGATATTTGGGCTTTTTTTTTATTGAAAAGTAAATATGATGGAAGATACTAGGATTTCTTTTATTAAATGTGAGAGTGTGGGACCTTAACTTTTAATGGTAGGAGTGAGATTTATTATATTAAAAGTGAGACATTTCCAAAAGTAAAGTGTAAAAACTAATTAAGGATACATGAGAAGGAAAGTGCAAAAAAATTATTTGGGGTAATGGAAGTAATACAAGAAAAATGAGAATGGTGATCCAACCATAAGAAAAGTTCTCCGTACAGAAGGAAATTGCAGAAGTAATTTAAGACAAAAGAGAATGGTGATCCAACCATACGAAAAGTTCTCCATATACAAGAAGGTTGCTTTCCTCGAAAAAATACACGGAAAAAGATGCAGAAAAGCAAGTTGATGAACAAAATTATAGAAAAAAGCATGACAAATCTCAATGGAAAGGATATAATGAGGAAACAAACCTCCAATGGAGAATATTCCAGCGTTGTTTATTAGTACATGTAAAGGTCCTGATCGTGCATTCCATGCTTCTGCAAATTGTGCAACAGAGTCCAAAGACAGCAAATCAAGTTCCATAACCTACAGAGGAAAGATTAAAAAGATAATCTTTCAGGAACAAAGTAGTGTTGGATGTATATTGAGACTCCTATGGTTTTTCTTCCCCGTTCATAGGGAAAAAAAAAATAAAAAATAAATAAATAAATAAATAAAAAAGGCATGTGCTATTGTTACTTATAAGTTAAAACCCAGATCACCGTACATGATAAGGATCAATATATTAATTTAACACATATTCAGCAACAAAAAAAATATATTTTCTTTTTTAAATAAGGAAATCTATGAGAAAGAATTACACTTTGCAATGTCTCGCAACAAAATGGGTCGCCAACTCTGTTTAATTAAATAAATGAGGTAACAGAAACAAGAAACATCTAAGACAAATCCGACAGGTTCTTGGTACCTCAATATTTAGAGGAAGGCCTTTCCCAGACCAATCAATTTGCCATTTTTGGATCAGCTCATGAGCAGCTTTAGGATTCCTTACAGCCATGACAACATGTGCACCAGCCTCTGCCAGTTGCCTATATAATTTTAACAAAACAATCACATAACAAGGGGTAAGAAAGTGATTTATAGCTCATTTATTAACTCATTCATTTAGTAAAAGAACAGATATTTAAAATACTGTCTAGAATCAAACAAATCCAATATGGATGACTATCTAACACCAAATATCACCATTAATAGAAGATTTCCACAATCTCACCTCCTCCATCACTTAACTCTTCATTGCCATTTCCCTTCTGTTATAACGGGGGCAAGAAAGAACAAATATTGAATGTAAAATTGACAAGAAAAACACACACAGATTTACGTGGTTCATCAACAATGTGTTGGATACGTCCACGGTCAGGCGAGAGTAATAGTTTTATTGATCTTGGGGAAAACAGAATACAGATTCATAACAGATTTGAGACCAATCACAGAAAACAGATTGAGGATTTCTAATGTTCTCTCTCTCAGAGATGAGAAACTCTCGGATTTCTGAATAATCACTCGGTAACACAATCATACGGCTACAAATAACCCTAGGGGGTATATATAGCACTCCGGAATAAGATAGATAGACGCACAAAAAAACCGCTAACCGCCTCAGCATTAAACGCCGCGCGGCCGCACGCGACTCCCAATGTTGCGTGCGACCGAGCGCCTCGCTCGATGTTGAGTGAGCTCGCTCTCGCTCGATCCAGTCGTACCTAAATACCTCCGTGAGCTATAGCTCGCTCGCCTAGGAGCTATAGCTCCACTTTTCGTCGCAACCTTCAACCTTGCCAAAGAATTACTAAGGTACCTCGTGAGCTACTCCAAGACCCGAAAACAGATTTAAGGCATATTTCTAACAAATCTCCGCCTTGACTTGAATCCCCTCACAATAAAACTGATGTACCACACACATTGATCACAACGCCAGTGTACCAAATGCATCGAACACAACGCCAGATATAAACAGACGGATATAACGATAACCAGAAACAAACTCTCCTTGCTCAGATTTGCCTCAGCTAGGCACCTGATTTACTCCGTCGAGGAGACTTACCCCGTCGAGCAAACTTGCCCCATCGGGCACCAGATTAGCCCAGCTTTGAATAGTTTGTAAGTCCAAGCAACCTTGAGACTTACTCTGCGGAACCAGATTCGAACAGACGGCTTGCTAATGCAAGCAATACCTCTCTTGGACGACTCAGATATATCCACCTCTCCAACAGATAGTGCAAAAGCCACCTTGTCTTCCCAACCATGCCTTTAGGGAGAGTTCCCAAAGCGTACATGCCGACCAAGAGCCAAAACTAGGATGACCCGATTTCAACGGTGAAGACTGTGGTGCTTCAAATTCAGACTTAGACTTTAAGTGTTGATCTTTCCCGGATGTCGATCATCACCCCCACCTAGAGTGACTTTAAGCTCCACCTGTTTCACAACACTACCACAAAAGACTCGGAACCAGATAACGTAGACCCTTGCAACACATACAATGTCTCCGGTTTAACACCCTTTAGAACTACCTTTGAACCTTTGTAGACATACAACCCTCCACCTTCACTTTTGAAGCTGAATCCTTTTCTATTAAGAATACTAAGCGAAATCAGATTCCTCGTGACTTGTGGAACATGCCTGACATTGTTCAACATACTCTGATGGACCCTATACCAACTGTTTTGTAGACTTCGTTGTTAGCCATAGTAACACTTCCATCAACTTACTTGTTGTTCGTAAAGCACTCCTTACATGAACTTATATGATAAGACGCCCCCGAATCCAAAACCCACACATCAGAGTGATGCGCATGTTCATCAGCAAGCAGGATATAACGGGTGTCTCCATCTGCAATATCTACAGACTCATAATTTTCCTATTGTCTCATCTTCTTGGTACATTCAGATTTCCAATGCCCCTTCTCCTTACAGTAATTACAGACATCACTAGGTTTTGGACCCCTAGAAGACGGTTTCCTGGATTTTCTCCCTGAATTCCCCTGTCCATTACCGCACCTAAATACATCAGCTCGCCTAGGAGCTATAGCTCCACTTTTCATCGCAACCTTTAACCTTGCCAACGAACTACTGAGCTACCTAGCGAGCTACCGCTCACTACTCCAAGACCCAAAAACAGATTCAAGGCATATTTCTAACACCTTCCATCCATGTCATCTTACCACAAATATGTTGCATACAATTGAAACAAAAGGATATTACTTATAGCGTAGGACTAGGGGACTCAAATAGTGAATTAGTCATAACATATATACCTCATTGTCTTAGAGAACAGGTTTTCTTCCTTACAACAAGAAAAGCAACCTTATACATAATCCTACCACATTGCAACTTTCTTATGTACTTACTGAAGTGGAAGTACTATGTTTTGAAATTATGCACAGCAAAGAGTAATATATTTGATGTCTAGTTCGTAGAACTAGCTCATCTTCCCAAGGATATACACCTAGAAACCTGGTGAATAACCGCAAAAAAGCCAACAGTTGAAGCATAGTAGATATCCAGGTCTTGCTTAAATCAATGTGAGTATGCAATAACCACAAGTCAACAAGTACAACCATAGTAGCCATCATTATTGCGAACAAAGGACTTAATTTTATGACATACAACATAAAACAGCACCTAGTAGCCATCAGTAAGAAATTAAGGACTTAATTTTATACCATACAGCATAAAACAGCACCAAATACAGCATAAATTTCACTTCAAAAAACCGAATTAAAATCACACCCAAATCTCCAAAACCCAAACTTACAACAATTGAAATCGTAATTGGAAAGAAAATCACATAATAAGGAAATAAAGAAAAGAAACCTGGCGATTTCCCGACCGATGCCACTAGTGGATCCGGTAACAATGCAAGTAAGATTTTCAATGGGAGGCAAAGGCATTGGATTTTGAAGATGACTAGCTGAAATACGCTGAAATAGCATCTCAAAAATCACATCATACCACCCTTTAAACCATTCTATCCATCCTAGTCCCTTCTTCACTTTTCCTCTTCCAGCTTTATCATTTTTACCATTCTTCAGTTGTTGCTTCTCTGCATTCTCAGGCTCATCGGAGGAACCTTCCAATTTCATACTTCTGTCCTACTAACAATCAAGGGTTTTGCAACATATTAGCAACAAAATTGGACTCAATTATCATATTAAATTCTTCTCGCTATAAAATATGAATAGCAAATTCGTATAGTATTTAACACCAATAATTCAACAATCCAACTTAAAAGAACCCTAAAATGACCATAATGACAATTAAATTAACGATCAACAGTTGAAATTGATATTCAATGATTAAATTTTTTTTAAAAAAAATGTTACCTCAGAAGCTGCTTCAATGGAGGAGAGGAAGCTCACAATCCGCTTCAATGGAGAATTCAAGTGCGCTTCAATGGAGGAGGGAGAGAGAGGAGTGCAGCGAGGCAGCTCGAATGTGTCGGTTTTTTTTTTTTTTTTTTTTTTTTTTTGAAATGCTGATCGAGTGGCGACAGTATAAACTGCTAATTAGTGCTGCTAATTATTTTGCTGATGTTGACTTTTTAGGCATTGTTTGGTTCAATATTGCTAAAAGAAAGGAATAGAAGGAAAAGGAAAGAAGGTATATCATCCAATGTTTGGTTTGATATTAGTAAAGGAAGAGAATTGAGAGGAATCTATTGATTGGTACGACATTAGTAAAGAAAGGAAAGGGAGGCTAACTCTTAGCCCTGCATCGTGCTATGCACAACACACGGTTTAGTGAATAAAGATATGAATTTGTGGGTCCCGAATGTTATAGATTTAGCAGAAATACATGTATTGTAGTATATATACAAAATACACGGGTTTATATTTCCCGTTGCGAAACAGTTACCCGTTATTGAGGCCGTTATTGAATTGAATTATGTTCATTTCTCAATTTGTCTTCCCTCTTCTGTTGTAATCCATGCTGCCCTAAATTGCCCCATTTCTCCTCCTCTTGGAAAGAATTTCTCATCTCCTCTCAACCCAAAATCTCATCCTAAAAATTGTATCTGTGTTGTTGTGGTTGATGCGAGGCCATTATTAAATTGAATGCGGAATCTGGGTAATTGAATTGAATGTGGTAATTGTAATTGAGTTGAGCTGTGTTCTTCCCTATTCTCTCATCCCTGCAGGTATTGTACCTATCTTAAATACTCAACTGCGATTATAGGTTTCATGTTAATTAAGTAATTAAATTAGGGAATGCTCAGATGGGTGCGCGATTTTAGGGTTTGTTTAATTTAATTTCGTGTTTTGGGTGGGATGATTTGGTCTGCTAGTACACTGTAAACACAAATATGGAGTTAATGTTAATTGAATTAAATTTATGTGTGTTTGTTAGTTTATGGTTATGACTATGATCTATGTGGTCTGCTAGAAAGGTGGGAGACTGCTGATGAGCTTTGAAAAGATGGAACCTATTATCATCTGTACTTCCACTGTTGATACATTGTAACACGAATTATTAAAGTCAATGCTGAAATCAAAATATAGGTAGTAATTACAGTCTATAACGTTGGGGAAGCTATAACAAGAAATTTTTGTTTGATAAGATTTGTGGCTAGCTTATGTTGGTTACATAGTATTGTCTGATTGTATGAATGGTTATTGTTTGATTGCCTTTACCCCATAAGTCGTTGAGTTAGTTAATGGCAAAATATTTGGATTTGTAATCTGCATGGTGTAGGTGTAAATGGCAGATGAAGTATTGTATTTGTTTGGTGAGGAAGGGGAGTTCTAGGATGATGTAGAAATGTTGCAGTATAATCAACAAATTGTTGAGCTTCATGCAGAGGGGAGTGATGATAGTGGAGGATATTGCACTCCAGATGAGCAAGAGGAGAAGGGTGATGTGTCCATGGTGAACATGGACGTGTTAGGGTGGATCCTCCTAAGGTGGGAATGATTTTTGAAACATGGCAAGAAGCTGATGTTTTTTATAATGCATATGGTAAGCAGGAAGGATTTGGGATGGTGCTTGCTCAAAGTGCTTATAAGATGGTGCAAGGAGTTAAGGTAAAACGTGCCACAACCTGGAAATGTGACTATTTTGGTAAACTAGATAGTAGAAAGAGGGTGCGGGGAAAAGACTTTCAAGGGAGTTAGAAGGGGAACCCGTAGCAACAAAGAAGTCGAAAAAATGCGGTTGTGGTGCAAAGGTGTATGCTGGATTGTTGGAAAATGGTAAATGGGAGTTGAAGATAGTAGAGTTGAAGCATACTAACCATATTCCAACCCCATCTAAAGCATTGTTAGTTCCAAAGTACAGGATGGCTGAATTGGAGAGAATGTCTTATGTTAGGCGAAGGCTTGAATTTGGTGATAATGTTGGTATCAGTTCCTCAACAATGCATAACATGTTGGCTAGTGAGAGGAATAGCCTATACAATATGCCATTTACTAAGATGGACTTGCATAATTTGCGGGCTAGGCAAAAGAAGCTGAAATTCAAAGATGGTGACGCAAATGTGATGATGCATTATTTTCAAATGATGCAGAAGAACAACAAGAATTTCTATCACATGCAACAATTGGATGCAAATGGGGTGCTACAGGATGTAGGGGTGTACATAAACAGGTCCGGACCTGAAAACCGACCTGAACCGGACCGGTTGGGACCGGACCTGATCCGAACTTGTAGATTCAAGTCCGGTCCCGGTCCTTGAAATTCAAGGTTTCCAGTTTCGGTCCGGATTAGGTCCAAAACCAGGGTTTTCAGGTCCGGACCTAAAACCCGGATTATATATGTATATATATAATAATATAAAAGCCTCAACCTAAATACCGTAACCTAATACTTCAGCGCCTCTTCTCTGATTTTTTCTCTCTCTTCCTCTCCTCTTCTCTGATTCTCAGTCTCACCTTTTCTCCTCGCCTCTCCTCCCTGTAAATTTTCTGTTTTTTTGTTTTTCTAGGTTTTTTCTTTTTTCTTTTTTTTTCCTAGAATACCGAAATAGAAAATCGCACCCACAAATTACAAATACAAACTGAAAAAAAATATACGTGCAAATACAAATACATAATTATCTTTTTTAATGAAATTGTAATGTAAAATTATAAATTTTGTAATGTAAGTTTGTAGATCTATTTTTCGAAATTTTCTGTTTTTTGTTTCGGATTTTCTGGCAATTTTATGTATAATTTGTTTTTTTCGATTTATTCGTTCGATTTTTTGTTAGGATTTATGTGTGGAATACCGAAATCTGGGTTTTTTCTGTTTTTTTTTTTTGTTTTTCTGGGTTGTGGGTTTGGTGGACTCCAGGACGGTGGTGGTTTTTTTTTTCAATTTTTTTCGTTTTCTGGGTTCTGGGTGGGTATCGGTGGGTCTGGGTTGTTGGGGTTACGGTGTCTAGGTTAAGGTGGTTAAGGGGTGAGCTGGGGTGGGTAGTAGAAGGAACGGAGGTTGTGGTGGCTGGTGGTGGGCTGTGCGTAGGGGTGTTCGTGTTAGTGTTTAGGTTTGATCTTTCCAGAGAAGCAAACAATCCGTATGTTCATGTCTGTTCATATCCATTTAAGCAATCTATCTTTCCAGAGAAGCAAACAATCTGTATGTTCATGTCTGTTCATATCCATTTAAGCAATCTATCTTTCTAGAGAAGCAAATAATCAGTTTTCTTATAGTGAAAGTGGAAGTGTGGAACCTATTAAATTACCCCATTTTGATGTAAATTTGGTTCGTTGTTGCTTTTTGTAGAAAATTTGGCTTGAATAAAGAAAAAACGAAAAAAAAACAAATTCAGGTCTGTTCAGGTCTATACCCGGACCGGACCTGAATTTTCAGGTCTGACCCGGAACCGGACCTGTTGATTCAGGTCCGGTCTCCGGTCCTCAAAAATCACTAATTCAGGTGCCGGTCCAAACAGGCTCGGTCCAGGTCCGGTCCGGTTTTGGACAGGTGTACACCCCTAACAGGATGTGTTATGGGTCGATGCTAGAAGTAGAGCTGCTTACGAGGATTTTGGTGATGTCGTGTGCTTCGATACGACTTTTCTGATGAATAAATATGATTTTCCATTTGCAAATTTTGTCGGTGTAAACCATCATGGACAGACAACATTGCTTGGTTATGCCCTAATATCTCGGGAGAATACTGAAACTTTCAAGTGGGTGATGTTATAATTTTTCATTTCAATAACTTCTGTTTATAAGTTTAATTTTGCATTACTTATTTTGTTTTCTTTATTTGTCATATGTTATATTAGGTGGGTGTTTTCAACCTACATTGATGATATAGGGGGAAATCCTCCCATGGCTATATTGACTGATCAAGATGCAGCAATGCGCAAGCATTGAAGGATGTTATGCCACAAACAAGGCATAGATGGTGTCTTTAGCATATCACTGAAAAGTTTGGCAGCAAGTTAGGCAAGTGTAAAGAGGAGCTGAAGAATGTAATATATGATAGTTTAAGTATGGAGGAGTTTGAATTAAGGTGGAAGGAGTTCATAGCGCAACATACTTTGGAGAGTAACATGTGGTTGGCTATATTGTATTCAGAGTGGGAAATGTGGATTCCCGCGACCATGAAGCACATGTGTTTGGGGTTGGAATGAAGACCACCTAGAGGTCGGAAAGCATTCATAATTTTTTTGATGAATTTTTCGATAAGAATACCGGTCTTTGTGACTTTACTGAGAGATATGTGAGGGCTATGGAACACCGGATGGATACAGAGAGGTTGGTAGATGGGAATTCTGCTGTTTATCTTCGTGGCTTAGTGACAGATTTCAAGATTGAAGAGACGTTTAGGAATGTTTACACAGATGCAAAATTCGTGGAAGTACAACGAGAGTGCAAAAGGTTGATGTACTGTAATTGTAGCAGCATTAATAAAGAGCTTGGAGAGGGGTGCTATGAGCACATAATTAAGGACATAGTTTGTGTTTATAGTGATTTTGACAAGAAGGAAAAGCCTATAAACAGGTGGATATTTTACCAGGTTTTGTATTGTGCAAAAACTAAAGAAGTTGAGTGTGAATGCAAGATGTTCGAATGTAGTGGGATTCTTTGCAGGCATTGCATCAATGCTCTTGAAGTGCAACAGATATCTGACGTGCCTAAGAAGTACATCTTGGATAGGTGGCGTAAATATATTTACCGTAAGCATAGTAGAGTGAAGGTTACGTACCATGATATTTCTAAGACTACAGAAGTACTTCGTTACGACAAGATGATGATTGCATTTTAGCCTATTTCCTGTCTTGCTAGTGAGAAAGACGAGGCATTGACCATGGTTATTGCAGGGCTCAAAGAGCTAGAGATGAAGGTTAAGTAGATTATAAAACCTGGTCTTCCATTGAGCAGTGTTGGTAAGACGATGACTAAGAGCACACCACACAGTGTGAACAAGGCATTCTGTCCTACTATGGCTGCTCCTTCTTCTGTTGGTAGGAGTGTTATTGTAGGAGATGGTCATGCGGGAAATATAGTTAATTGCGGAATTGTTACAGCCAACTCTAGGTGGCATTAAGGATCCACCTACCAATAGGGGTCTTGGGTGTGTGAGATCTTCTAGGTTTATGACCACATTTGAGGAAGTGTGCAGACAAAAGGAAGCACAGAGGAAACACTATGACAAAAAACGTCGCAAGGACAGAGCAAAACAAAGGGAACAAGGAGCAACAGAACAATTGAGTCATCAAGGGGTTACAACTCTTGCAAGGTAAATTGACTTTGATCACAGCCTGGGACCAAATAGTGAGGTAATCATAAGTAGGTCCATGTGATCAGTTTTTACTTTTCATCATCTAATACTTATATCTTTAGTTGTATCATAATTTAACTCCTTGTTTGATCTAATATGTATGTATGTGTTCATTTACAGTTCAGCGAAGATATGGTAGGAAACTACTTGATTTCAACAGGATGTGACTCAGAAGAACATATGTTCATTCCTGAGGATGAGCTGATCTAACGTAATGGTATTCAATGGGGTTGATGAAAAATCCCTTGCTTTGAAAGTATGGAATTTGATCCCAACTTGGGAAACACTTAAATTTGGGCTTAGGCCTGTCGGCGTGTTTAATTTTAATGAATTGTTATATTAATGGCTGTTCTTATTATATTATGGACACTCTTTGTGTAATTTAAGGACTTTTAATGGAGTGTTTAAGTAATTATTAATTTCAATTTTTTTTTTATATTATGGCTATTAATGTTATGGAGTGACTTATTACGGCTATTAGTGTTATGGAGTGACTTTATGGAGTGACTCATTATATTATTGTAGACACCTTATTATGTCTCCCCAAAAACCAAACCCAGTGATGAGTACCTTTCACATCTTTGACTATCGAGTTAGGTGAAGAGTTGAAGAGTCTCGTGAATTTCCCTTTGGCCTGGACCATTTATAACCTTTCCTAAAATGTTTTAATCCAAAATCATTCATTTCGTGTCTTTGAAAATCATTCATTTCGTGTCCTCTTTATAAAACGTCCAAACCAGTCTATTTTGGTCCATGATTCTGGTCCAATTATTGTTTAGTTGGATGGGACTTGAAAAGAGCTTTTCAACGATATATTATAAGCCCAAATCCGACTTATAACGAAAAGTTATGGCCAAAATACTAACCTTTCCTAAAATGTTTTAATCCAAAATCATTCATTTCGTGTCTTTGAAAATCATTCATTTCGTGTCCTCTTTATAAAACGTCCAAACCAGTCTATTTTGGTCCATGATTCTGGTCCAATTATTGTTTAGTTGGATGGGACTTGAAAAGAGCTTTTCAACGATATATTATAAGCCCAAATCCGACTTATAACGAAAAGTTATGGCCAAAATACTAACCTTTCCTAAAATGTTTTAATCCAAAATCATTCATTTCGTGTCTTTGAAAATCATTCATTTCGTGTCCTCTTTATAAAACGTCCAAACCAGTCTATTTTGGTCCATGATTCTGGTCCAATTATTGTTTAGTTGGATGGGACTTGAAAAGAGCTTTTCAACGATATATTATAAGCCCAAATCCGACTTATAACGAAAAGTTATGGCCAAAATACTAAGCCGAGCCCGAACAAAGCCTTACCTGCGACCCAATGATCATGTGGAGGGTCCATTAACCTTAACTTCATTCCTAAATCCATTAGGATTTATTGTGAGCTTCTAGAATCCTCTAAAAGGTTCTAATTTATTCTGTTTTCGAAAAGATAATGATTTAAGAATTTTACATCGGATAAAACATTTGTTTGTCAATGATCCTAATCCCGGTCAAAATAAAATATGTACAAATTTGATTAACCCAATCCGATTGGAAATCGGATACCGTACGAATTCTATCTTTCCAAATACTAACGGTGAGCGACAGCACCATCGCGCCGCGACAAGTCTGTCGCGCCGCGATGGACCTGTCGCGCCCGATGAGAAGCGTTTTACTTCGAGTTGAATTTTGACTCTTTTCTGATCCTTCAACCCTCCTTTTTCCTTAAATATAGAGGTCGTTTCATCCCGTTTTCATTCACCAACAATCATCATCGAATACCCTCTCTAATACTTTCTCTCTCTCATGATTCTTTTCTAAGCCTTAGCCTAAACACATCCTTGATACTTCCCCAAGCAAACACCATACCTCCTTCACAAGCTTCGAATACTCCTAGCCAACCTCGAAGTTGCTTCGACCTCGACGTGAAAGGTTGATAGTTCTAAGGGTTTGGTCCCAAATCTATATTTCAATTCTTATTTGATTTATTTGATTTAATCTTTCTTGAAGTTTACTAACGTGTGTAGTTTTGATAGAAAAAGATATGGGGCATCAAAGTAAGTAATTCGATTACTTAATTATTCTTTTGATAGAAATTATGCTTAGAATATTATTTTAATTTCTAGTATCATGTTAGGATGTTTATTTTGATTCCTAGTATCATGTTTGGGGTGTTAATTAATATTTTTAATATCATGCTTTCGGTTATCATGTTTAGGCTAAAACATTGATCTTTATTTTTAGTGACATGCTAGGATTTGTTATTAATCTGTTTAGTATCATGCCTAGTATCTTACTAATAACGTTTTGATGTTATTATTATGATGATACATTGCTTGATTATTCATGATTGATTGTTATTGCTTGATCACGCCCCTTCTTGCAAGTTTAAAGGGAATTTGTACTTGAAATCACGCCTAATAAGATAATTGATAATTCGTTTTAGGCTAATATGATTTTAATTCAAGTGATCACCAATAATAGATTTGATTGTGCATTAATAATCAACCAACGTAGATTAAACAGGTTAAGGGTTAACTTGATGTATGTATGTTGATTGGAAAGCGCACATGAATATCATAAGAATTAAGTAGAGGCCGATTTAGGGCAGGTTCAATCTCTTTTAGGTTGGATTCGTACCATCATCCCCAAATATCCACTCATGGTTTCGGACCACTATGGAGTTAGCGATCTCCGTGATCGTGAATGGGGTGTAACCTTCACACCCGTGAACGGTTTACAAGTTCCCAAAACTTGTTGGCGACTCTTTTATCTCTAGCTTCCTTACCTTTGGACGCCACCATGCTTAAAAGCATGATCACAGTGGGGCTCAAAAGGTTGAGTTTAAAAAATTCCCTACAGTTTTTGTGACTCCACTAGGGACGATTTCTAATTTTAATTCCAAAAATTTATTTTGGCAATTGATTAAGAATGAGTGGATGAGACTTGAAACATTTTAGATGTTCATTGTGCGTAATTTTGATTAACATTGTGGCATAAGCATAAAAAGGTTTGCATTGGAAAGACCATCTGTAATGCGTAAAAAGCATAGGATTTTTACACGTAGGAAAAGCTGGAAATATCTTTCACAGCTAAAATTGAATAAACCAAGCGAAAAATCGGAAAAAAAAACTTTGAATTCCAGAATTGTCGCGACGTGCTGGAATTGTCGCAAGACGACAGCGATCGTCGCCAAACGACAGCTTTATCGCGGCACGATAGAGCTGTTACTGCGCGACATTCTCTGTTTTCTCGGTCCGAGTTCTCGCGACATTGCGCCAGTTTTGACCGATTCTAGTACTGTTTTGCCGATTTTACTTCCAGATTAAGTTTTTTCGACTTTTCTAGAAACCATATGTGTTCTACATATGGTCTTAGCCCTTGAGAATTCACGCTCCATCCACCGTAATGAACGCTCCGTGCGACAATGGGTGCATCCGAGTTTGTGAATTCACCAAACCATGTAAGCAAGTTTAACTTACGGGGTCCCATCCATCATGCCAACCCTTCTAAGGTAAGGCTTCCGCGCGATGCATCTCGATTCATGACCATGGACCCTCTTGGACACCATAATCCTTGACCTTAGAGAACTAGAGCCATGGTTAGGTTGCAAACTCATTGCATCATGTTGTGACTACTTGACTACTTGTGCATCTCTTACTTGTGCATACTTTATTTGTGATTAAACTAACCTTTTGTGTTGCCTTGTTTTTTGAAAATAAAGTCTAACAAACTAACCAAGGACTAAAAAGGACTTTGCTTAATTAATTGGTTAATTAATTCAAACCTATAAAGTCTAAACATACTCGACCTAGTAGTCCATAGGCTTAAACCTTCGAAAGGATCACCGAAAAACAAACTAGATTGACGTTCCATTATTGGTGCGAAAATTTGGTCTATGCTGCAGAACGCCAGGTCTATCGCGCCGCGGCAGTCTTGTCGCGTCGCGATGGAACTAGCGTTCCGCGACAGTTCCATCGCCACGCGATGGTTCGGTTTTTTCCTTTCCAAGTCTTTGCGTCGAGTCTAATATGCCATGATTAACCGGTTGAATCAAACGAAGTCTTAACTTGGTCTTTGCTTGAGTCTAATCACATATTTAGTCCCATGGTCATTACACGAGTCTTGAACATGTCACTTTCACTCACGAGTCTTAGCACACACTTTGTACATGTCTTTTAACCATGACCATGTCAAGAGTCTTGTATGCGTATTTTCCGTCATTTTTCTAGGGGGGTAAGTCGGATATTATTCTCCTAACATAAACCATGTTACTTGAAAACTTGATTTGATCCCCATACTAGATTCCCAAAATATACACCCATTTTTTGCTTCTTCAACCCAATAAAAGTACGAGTCAATTTGAGTCAAGTCATTAAAAGAGTCAATGGTTTAATTTTACAGCGCTTGTTCAAGGAGAGAAGGGCGCTTAACCAAGGACAACACCTTTATACAAGTACTCCTATTCGATAGACCGGTTCGAAAGAAAAGAA